AGAAGAAGAAGAAGAAGAAGAAGAAGAAGAAGAAGAAGAAGATGACGACGACAACACAGATCAGTCAAGAAGGAAGAAATATCTTTGGTCATGGGGGATGTCTGAGAAAGTAACTTTTTATTGCTGATGCAAGTTTTGGTAAAATAAAGTCTTTCTATGTAGATCAGAACAGTAATCCTCCTGCCTCAACTTGCCATGTGCTGGGATTACAGAGATTGCAGGTGTGCACACCATACCTGTCTAAGAAAGTGACATTACCCAGGAGGAAGAAAGATCAACAGGAAAGTGGTCATTTTCATCCACAGAAAGAAGTCTCAGAACACTGAAATAGGCAGGTTTGAATCTGCCAAGCTGTATATATCCTGGGTACCATGTACTACAAATCTAGAAATTCTAGTTAAAATTATGTTTTCAAGAGTAAAGAAAGCGGTATTGGTATCCATTGAGGAAAATCAAACATGTGACCTATGAAGTAGGAAGGAGGTGGGGTGCCAGGCAGGGGCTCAGGAGGAACTGTTTACACCCAGCTCTGTAAGGATGAGGTGCAGAGGGAAAGGAAGACACCCCAGACAGGGACTTGTTGGCTGTGTTACGGACAGATGGAGTTTGTCAGTATCCCAAGTCCAAATGCAGGAACTGCCCCAGCTGAAGTCAGAGTAAAATTTGCAAGTTATGGCCTAGTTTTTTTTTTTTTAAAGCAGTTTTGAAGTTGTGCCTAATTCAAGGAAAGAGGGAAGGGGAGACTTTAGGCTTCATGGAGGGGTCTTCCCACAGAGATACAGGAACTGACAGAGAGACACTCAGACCATCAGGAAAACACAGAGGAAGAAGTGTCTTGTCCACTGGTCACTAAACATTAGCAGGACACATCATATGGTGATGGTAAGGTGGAGGCCTCAGGAGTGTAGGAATGTCACCACAGAGGCTTTGAAAGGAGTATGTGACCTTTCCTCTTTCTAGGAACTGAGACACAGAAATGTCACCCCCCCACACACACACACACAAGTCATGCGTACTTAGTCTGTGGAACAACAGAACTCAAGCAGTACCATAGTTAGGGAGTGGGGTGGGCGTCTGTATGATACCTGCAGAATGAGAGCATTCTGGCTAGGTGCCAGCCTCAACTTCCAAAGTGAGCTACTGCCTCCACCAGGCTCTACCGCAGTCCACACAGTAGGACAAGTGACTCTGGTGAATGGATGTCACTTATACTAGGATCAGAGGACAGACTTTGTCTTAAAAAAGAACGGAAGGCTCTTTGAGGTCTAGCTGTCCCTAGGCACATCTCTATCCACCCACCCCTCGGTCTAGCCTGTGTATATAGTCTCGCTCCAAAGACTTTGTGCTGCACTGCCGTTCCCTCTGGGCCACAGTACTCTCCTCCTGGTGGGTTTGTTTAGGAAGTGATATACAGCACACCTCACATAGCCCCTCTGTGTAGCACCTGTAACCACGCACAGGACTAAGCCGGTAGCAGCTGTGTGGAATCTGCACAGATGCTTAAGAAAGCACTTCTCAACTGACCCAGTTACCCAGGTTAAGAAACCCTTACCTACTCAAATGACTCTTAACCCAGTGGTAGAACACTGCATGTACTTGGTTACATTGTTTTACAGTGATTGACATTCTTGATTCTCCAACCCCATGAGTGTCATTCTTAAGTTTCCAGAGCCTGAACAGTTTCAGGCTCACGGGACAGCAGTGCTAGAGGTTGTGGTATGGGTGGCAGTGTTCTGTTTTGTGGGCAGTTGGTTTGGGGATGGGACATTAAACCCAGGGGCTCGTGCATCTGCTGCCATGATTACTAACAGAATGCTTCGAAGGCCATCATAGACGTGTCTGTCTGGAATTAGACTACTTAGGTACGACTACAGAAGACCAAGCATGTCCGTGATTATATTGGCCCCAGAAGGCTTTTGGTATATTTCAAAATATTTAAAAATACATTATCTCCTGGGCCACCTGGAGAACTTCATTATCGTCTTCCTGTAGGGGTTATGTCAGGATGGTGTTTCCACTTCCCTAAAGAGCAATAGTTTTGAATGTTTCCTGCTGGACTCCCAGCATAGTACATACTATGGAAGGCACATGCCTGGGACTCTGCACTGAAGAGCACTGTGAACCTGCCAGGAGACAGGGGTAGAAGGGGTAAGGGTGGGTGGTGGGAGGGAACAGCATAGCCTAGGACTCTGCACCATGGATGACTGAGTACCGGCTGTAAGAAAGTGGCTAGCATAGCCCAGCACTATCTACCAATGATTTCTGTGCATATACTGGAAGGGCGGGGATAGTAGAGCCTAGGACCCTGCAGCACACAGTTCTGTGCACCCACTATGAAAGTGCAGACACTGTGCCAGCGATCCCTAGGTTAGCCTCCTAGCAGGCTAAAGTACAGGTGGTACCCTGCTCTCCCAGGGCTCACCTTCTAGAACATGGATGATCAATAAGGAACTAGAATGCATAGGTTATGAAAATCTCCTGGGAGATGTAAAGGAGTGGGTGGGCCAGGACTTGTGACTGTTGCGGGGGGATAAGGTGCACAGCACACTTGATACAGATTTGTCACTTCTGTTACCTTGGGCTGACTCCAGGTTCAGAGTGGCCACTCAGTCCCCCTGAAGCCCCAGGATTTGATCACTCTTGACCCCTAATACTCTAGACCACACCTATCCCCTCTATGCAGACAGATGAGCAGCCATCTTTTTTGTCTTAGGTTATGAAGCTTCTGGGGCAGCAGTGTGAGCCACCCGTTCTCCCATTACTCCACTACTTCTTGGCTATGTGATCTTGATGAGTTCCTTAGCCTGTGTGCCATGTTTCCTCACCTTTATGACGGGAATAAAAACTGTCCCTCCCTCTTATTGGCACTTGGGAGGGTTAAATGGTCAGATGTATCTGAAATTCAGTAAATGACAGACAAATACTAGCTTTCAACCTTGGGGCTAAGTCACGCCAGAGAAACAAGATAGGTCACACAGTAATTGGGGTAGGGTGAGGGAGTTCACTGTGGAGCCAGCTGGTAGCACCTCTCTGGCTTATATGCAAAGAACTAAAACGCACACCCCATTCTCCGCAACCCTACCCTGGTGCTACCTGGCTATTCTGTGTTAGGCTCAAATCCTGAGACTCCTAGTTTGTGTGTGGCAATTCCAATCCCTGAGCATCTATGTGAACAGGGTCACTGTTGCCAACAGGTTACCTTGGAGAGGAAGGTAAACTTTTTCATAGAGAGTCAGGCAGACATGACAGAAATGTAAGACAACAAACTAAGCTAAGTTGCTGAAAACCTCATTATTCCAGGAAATGCACTGCTCAGCACAAGTAGCTCTAGTGGACTGACATCCATCTGCCGAGTTGGCAGAAACAGTTGCTGGTCCAAGCAGACTTTGCCTCCTGTGCTTATGGTCCAGCACTGGGTCCCAGCTCTGACGGGTGGGCTGGAGCCCCTGAGAAAGAGAGTACAGTCTCAGGAAGGGGTCTAGGAGGGAAAGGAAGAACTTGGCCGAGATCCTCTTGGCCTGAGCCTACACCCACCCATACCCATTCACTAGCCTCTCCCATGGACAGTAGCCAGCCTGAGGGCAGGAGTTAAGCTGGAGTTGTTGACCCGGTCACTCGGCCATGTTCACTCTCCTCAGCCAGACAGAGGAAAAGTGCCGTGGGTGATGAGATCATTGGTCTGGGGTGGGGGAGGGTACCCCAGGCTGGCTACTGGGAGTTCACAGGATTGCTCTCTCAGCCTCTGCAGCCAACTACACTTTCCATAAGAAATGGTTAAAAAACAGCAAACCACAATGACAAAACAGGACCAGGAATGGCAGCACAGCCTGACAAGGCTCCAGTGTCCACTGCCAACCAGGGACATAAGGGCCTCTCACCCTCACTGCCTCCTGCTTAAGAGGGAAAAGAGTAAGGAACCTACTTCCTTAAAAGAAAAGTAAAGACACATACATCATAAGATCCCAATTTGGTGTGTGTCCCTGAACCCTCTGACCAGCCAGGAAGAACAGCCTGCGCCTGGCTAATCACAACCCAGCAAACTCCTGACTGTTTTCCAACTTTATATAACATGGGACGGCAGCCTGTACCTCGAGTCTGCAAGCCCCACAGTATTTTACAACCTCAAATATTATAACATGTTTTCTACTTCCTGGTAGGAGCCAACTCCCTGGGGCCTACTTGCTGCAATCCGAAGAAAATGTTTGTCCTGTTAAATAAACAGCCACGCTCTCCATGGTGACGGTTGGGTAACGGAGGAAAATGTGGCCAGGGCTGTCCAAATAAGGAGGGGAAGGAGGCGTGCGGGCAGGCACTGCCTCACTAGGGCTCCCCCACAGGCTCTTCAGTCCTTACCTATGTTGAGGTACCAAGCTGCAATTACTAATGTACCTAGGTGACAGCCCCTAGTGGTGGCTGAGGTGGGAAAAAGCTGACTGAATGCTGGTGGGGTCTAGGAAGCCCAGCCCTTTGCCCTCCAGGACCTGAGCTGATCCTACTTGACCAGGTGTTAGCTGCAGGGAATAGGCCCTGGTTTTTCACAAAGCCTACTGGGCAAAGATAATTATGTGAGGGCTGGTGAGATGGCTCAGACGTAGAGACACTTGCTGCTGGGACTGGACAACCTGAGTCTGAGCCCTAGAGCTAAGTCCTTCAACTTGTCCTCTGACCTCTCCACATACATGATACGTATACACACAAAAATAATTACTTTTTTAAAAAAAGTCAATCGTGTGGCCTCTCTCTCTGCTTCTGTCTTGCTCTAGACTCTAGAGTCACCTACAGTGACTGACTTGTTATGATCATATTCCATGAGCAAAAGACTCCCAATGAGGGCCATGTCTCCAGTGGGAAGTATCAGGACTTGGGAACAGGGCAGCGGAGGCTCTCTACACCTGCTTACTCTCCCAGAAGTCTGGTGGTTAGCAGCTTCCCACAAGCATTGGGTGGAGAGGGCTCCACAGGGCTGTGGGCTATGCATTTTTAGTCACTTAATACAGTCATTTTCAAGGGTCACATCGATATCCGATGAGGCTCTTTCCTCTGCCTCCATACTCCAGCCATTCACCGACTTCTCAGAGCTGGAGCTGATTGGTCCACTGAGATTGGATGAAATTATACCATTATAATAGGCCCCCATGCCTCCAGGGTTTTCTAGAAGGTTCGGAGTTTGAGAGAGAAGCTGTATAAATAACAGGGACCTTTCCTAGTTCACTTAAGCACAGCAGATATGCTTCACACAGGGACATTATATGACACCAGTGGGGTTTCAGAAACTTCTCACCATCTTACACAGGTGCCTGAGAAAAAGGTCCACAGACCCAGAACTCCAAACATGACCGGAGCCAGATCTCAGAGACTGTTTCAGCTGAGGAAACTGAGGCCCAGGGTAAGCTGAGGGGCCCAGTAGCTGGCAGCTGGCTGATGCAGGGCTCCCCGTTGCTGAGCACTGCAGCCTCCACAGAAAGCCTGAGCTGCACCAGTTATGTACCAATGAATCACACCAAGATGACAGTGACAGATAACTGCAGCCACCCACAATGCCATTCCATGCGGGCACACTGTACAGCTACCACTAAAATAAAGGAGTCCCTGGCTTTGTTAGATTCCAACGACATACAAAAAGTGATTCTCTCTGTATTTAAAAACCCGATTTTTTCAGTTAAAGCCTTGAGGTAGACAGACTCTGGTTCTCTTATCAGACGAATCCAACCTAGACTCCAGAGAGTAAGGCAGAGTGGACATGTCTTCTTCAGGCTTGCACCTCTGGTACGCATGTGGACCAAGGAGGAGAAATGGATCCTGAGACTGCCAGGCCTGGTTTTTACAGTGGTACAGCCTGCCAGCCTGTGTCTGTGCCTCTTCGAGCTAGGGGTTACCCTGGATGATTTCCAGGGAGCCTTCTGGCTCCCTTGTTCTGTATGAATCAGCTTTCCAAACTGGTTCCTTGTGTATACGTTACAGAAACCCTGGCAACCAGGGTTCCTGCAGAAGAAGCAGGCCACCGCCCACCTCTTGGTCCATGTCTGTGCTTGGCAGCCAAGGTATGTCCCAAAGAATGACGTGACTGCTCCAGCTCAAGAGTGGACCTCTCCCCCTCCCCTGACACACACCCAGCCCATCTGGAGACAGGAAATACTGGCACGGAGGATGCCATGGAAATCAAAGTGGGCGGACAAAGTGGGCTCCTTGACATCGGGGGCGGGGAGGGGCAGGTGTGGCTTGGCACTGGGTATTTCTGTTTAACCCCTTTCCCACCGCTGGGAGTCAGCGCCTATTTGTGGTCCTTCCCCAGGGTCAGACTTGACTCTCTGGACTCATAGCAGGAAGCCAGCTCCTCAGGGGATTCTCTGGATCCATCCTAGGAGCACTTGGCACTTCCTTGGACAACACTATGGGAGACGGCGCGCAGTCTGGTGTGGTGATCACTCAATGTCTCTGCGTCCTCCGACAAGATGCCTAACTAATCTCCCCAACCTCAGTGCCTAACCTGAGAAATGGGAGCAGCAATGTGCACCTGGAAGAGGGTCATTGCGCAGTCTCATCTACGTTCTGCCGAGATGCAGCCGTTTGCACAGTCGGCAACTCCTGGCTCAGGACCCCAGCTCCAGTTTTCCAAGCCGCTGGTTACGTAAGACGACCACGGCCGTCCAGGTCCGCGCCACCGCCCAGTGCCGCGCCACCTCCCAGCGCCGCGCCACTCACCGCTTCGCCGCGTCCACCCGTGCGTCTGTTCCTTCCCTGCTCGGCCCGTCACTTGGTTCGCTCGGCCTGCGCGCCGCAGCCGCCCGGAGCCGCTAGTCCCGGTAGCGCCGCTACAGCCGCGTCGCCCTCCGCTGTCACATAGTGGAAAACGTGACCGCGCGCTCTGAGCCCGCCCCTGCGCGCGCCATTGGTCCCGGAGCCGCCTCATTTGCATACTGGTGGGGCGGGATCTGAGAGTTCCGAGCGTCAATTGGTGGAGACGCCCGTCGCTCTCTTTACATAAGACGCACATGGAACTCCATGTTCGCCGCCCCGGTTCCTCAATGAAGACGCTGCGCGCTCTTGCGCCCCCCGCGTCCTGGCGAGTAGGCTCGTCCACTTCCGGCCTGCGGGACTTCCATTCACCTGGCACGGCGGTGGCCCGTTCGTGCAGCCCGGAGTGGCGCGTACCACTGCGGCGCGGGGGGAATGGTGCTTAGTCGCTGCGTAACTCCTGGCCGGCGGAGTCTGGGGCCACCGGCCTACCACCTGCAGCGACGTGACCAGCCTCGGCAATCCGAAAGACCGAGAAAGCTCTCTGCCGACACCTTTCGCTCACCCAGCCCAGTTCATTCATTTTCTCTCTCATTCATTCATGGCGAAGCGCCTGAAGACAGATAGGGCGGCCCCTCTGGATCTACTGCTGCGCACCTACCCAGAACAGCCTGGCTGACTCTAGGACAGGCCCCCAGGCTGACAGTCGTCCCAGATGGGCCAGAGCACTTCACTCCCTCTTAGCCTTTCTTGTTTTTGAAACCACGTGTTGCTAGCTAGTGTTGATTCAAAAAACAAGGTCATGATTGCCGTGCAGAGAGATACAAAGGAAAGAAGTGATTTCTTACTGCCCTCAATCACATAGGGAGAAAAGACTGGCGTTCTAAAGGGAAGCTTAACCAAATGCGGTGGTGTAGTTCATTAACCTTACAGGATCTATGGAGGCGGAGTACTTGAGGATGGGTAGCTGAGGTATGCATCTGGACTTTTCTGAGGTGGAAGGTACTGTGCTCACTTGTCAGGGGAGGGAACTTCCCCAGGGACAGGACAGCCCTGCCCCTGTGGAACCTTGGCTGAGGCTATTTGGTTCTTTCAAGAGTGCTGTCTAGAAGCCTATTAAGCATTCAGGCTCTTGTCCAAAGGGTCAAAGGAGGGAGTAGAACTTTCCCTGAAGGTGGTTTGAGGCCGAAGACTTACCTGTCTGTCATAGAACAACTTAAAAGGCTCTGAAAGTGCAAGGTGTGATGGGGAAGGCAAGGGTGTCATTGTCATGTCTTTGAAGGGTGAAAAGGTCACTTGTCATTGCCCAGGAACTTGAAGCCTAGGAGTATCCACTACTCTGAATCTTCCCCTGGGGTGTCCTAGGAACCAGGAATGGAAAGAAGGCAAACATCATCAGCAGAAAGTCTGCGAACAAACGGAGCTGCTGATGTACACAGCCAGCTAACCCACATTCAAGAATTCCTGTGTGTGTGAGCCACTTCTTTCTGTCTGCCTGACAGGACAGGCATGCAATTCCTCAGATGCAGATGCCGGCAGAGACTAAGTTCATTTCAGCAACCCTTTCCAAGGGAGCCCTGGGAAGCCAGGTGTTGACTGACTCACACTGCAGGGAGCAGGGCAGCACCTCTGGTTCCTCTGATACTGACACCTCACCACACTCCCCAGCACACACAAACACTGAACAGAGCCGGGCCAAGCTGCACCCCGCACACACCCAAAGAGCCTTTTGTTTCCTGGCTCACATTGACGTCAATGGTGGCTGCATTGTTCTGGAAACAAGAGTGCACAGCTCATCCACCTGGCAGAGTCTCCTTCATGTTCAGCTTTTTCTTGTCTTGCTCCACATTTGGCCTGTATTGTAATGTCACAGTTCCCCCCTAAATTTAGCCTTTCCTATTTCCACCAGTAAATATTCTAGAAAGTCATAGACATCAATTCTTTTGGAAACTCAGTACTGTGGGGGAACTCTAGAACTCTTTGGAATCTAATTTGTCTTCAGTTTCTCACTCGGTTGGATTCTACTTTCTTGTTACTGGAAACTTCCATATACTTCACAAATATTTGCTCACACTTGAAGTTAGAGAGAAAGGCAAAAATAAATCTTCTTCCTCCTCTACTTCTCTCCTCTTCCTCCTTTTCTCCTTCTTCTCCTTCTTCCTCTTCTTTTAAGACAGTAAGACATCTGAAGAATTGCATGCCTCTCTTACCTTGTATCCCACAACTGGCTTGGGTTATAGATTGTCGTGAGCTGGCATATGGGTGCTGGAAACCAAAACCTGAGTTGTCTGTAAGAACAATAAGTGTTCTTAACTGCTAAACTATCTCTTCAGCCCAGAGACACAGTGTTAAAATAAGCCTCCTCTCAGCCTAAAACTATTTGCTGTTGTGCTATGCAAAGAGAGATTGAAGCATCAACTTTGCTGGTTATGAGGACAGCCAATGGCTTGACTGAGATGAGAGCTCTGTCTTTTGGTTGGGGATGGGTAGTCATGTGCATGACAGTTCTCAGAGTTGGTGCTGTAGATCAAGCCTGTGCCTTGGGAGCTTGGGAACTGAGTCATGGATCAAGGTTTTCTGAGACTCTTTCCAGGGATGGAGATTCTTTCCGAGATTTTATGGCCACTCATGTCTCTCCCAGTTTTGAAGGAGCCCGCAGGAAGACAGCCTGTCACGAGACAACTGTGTCCAGTGTGATGCACTTCCTGTGAGATCCTCCCCGATGTCTGAGGCAATGCCATGCATCATTTACTTTTATTTTCTTAAAATTTTTGGGTGGATGTGTATTTTGACTACATGTATGTCTGTATACTATGTATGTGTCTGGTACCCTCGGAGGTTCTACAGCCTCCAAAAATAACACCAACAGCCAAGGGCTAAGCACTCAAACACCAGAGCCAGTGGGAAATATATCACATTCAAACTATAAAATGTCCCATGTCTGAGACGATTGATCCCTGGACCTGGAGTAGTCTCCATGTCTAAGGTGATCCCCCATACTCAAGGTGAAACCCTCAAACACCCGTACATTAAGGAGTAAGTTACCAACATGATATTGTTGGGAAGTGGTGAAACCTTGAAGGGGTGGGTCCTAGTGGGAGGTATTAGGTCATTGGAGAAATGCCCTTAAAGGGACTGTGAAACACCTGCTTCTTAATCGTCCTTCCATATCAGTCATGAAGTCAACTATTTCATACATGATGGTACAATGATCACTTGCCCTTGCTATAGTCCAGAAAGAAACAGTGATAATCAATTATGGACCGAAGCCTTCAGAACTATGGGCCCAAATAACCTCTTTCTCTTTATAAACCAACTGCCTCATGTATTTGTTACAGTGATGAAGCTAGCATACACTCTGTGTCCAAAGTGATATTGCAGCTAAGGTGAACTGCACACCTGAGGTGACTTGCATGTCTGAGGTGATCCCCTATATCTGAGGTGATTCTCCATATTTGAGGTGATCTTCCATGTCTGAGGTGACCTTTATGTCTGTGGTAATCTATGTCTAAAGTGATCATGTCTGAAGGGATTCTTCATGTCTCCATGTCTGAGGTGATCTCATTGTTTGTAATCTTCATGTTTGAAGTGATCCCCATACATGAGGATCTTCTTACCTCACAAGGAGAAAGACTTTCTTATTAGTCATGGGCTGATCTCACTGTTCTTCTAAGCCATAGGTTTCTCCTAGAAGTCCCTCTTGCTCTATCTTCCTCTACTCCTGTGTCCCCAAGAAAGTCACCTCAGTCTCCTTTTTCTAGCACTGTTAGTGGCACCGAATGATGATGTCTCTGCTCTCCTCCCCTCCCCCTAACATAGATGCCCTGGAGTAGCATCAGGAACTGAGGCCTTTCATGCCCTGAAGAAAATCAAAGTTGGTCACCAACAGAGTAGTTGGTCCTGGGTGACACAGAAGAAAGCAGGAGGCTGAGGCTGGAGATTCATATTCGTGGATGGCTGTGGCCGTGTCTGCACAACGCTGTGACTGCTCCATGCTCACAGGAGTCGTGCTTGGCACTAGCATGTTGTCTCTTACTTAATCCTCACAGCTATGTGAGGTGTATGCTTATCCCCACTGCTCCTCTCTGTACAAGACATTCCCAACTCTCAAGGTGACAGGAATCATGCCTCCGATAACCTTTGTCTGCAGCATGAGCTCATGGTCACCCTCACCACTCCACCCTACAGAGCCTGGGAAAGGAAAAGGCACAAGTTATGAATGAGCAAAGTCCAAGCTCCAACGGTCTGCCTCTGGAATATTCTCCCCAGCAGGAAGCTCCATTGTGATGTGGCTGGCAAAGAGCTCCCTGAATTTTTCTGATTTCCTTCTAAACCTATAAAGTCTAGAGAGAAGATTTTCCTCGTGGGTTAACCCCTGACTCATCCCTCTAGCCATGTCAGGCTGGCATGAATCTTTTAGCGGGACAAGCTCCAGGGTCACTGTGAGCCTTGCCTGGTTCTCTGCCTACAAGTCCACCCTTTAGTGAGGTCTTTTCCAAGCCTGCTAAGTACTGTGCGGTTTGGGGGTTGTCATCTTCTGCTGACGTCTTAAAACCTAACATGGAAAAACACCACTAACTGTTCCCAGACCCAGGCTTGTAGAAAATAACAAATGAGCTTGACTGAGCTGCCCTCAAAACAACCCCCAAATGAAGTGCTGGAGCCTAGACAAGCTTCTGTAAATATCTCCTTAACCGAGATCTCAGTCTGGAATTGAACCGCTTACCATGCATGGCTGATCCATTTTCAATACTACAAAGTAATATCTGAGAGAGGATACTTTGTAAAGAAAAGAAGCTTACGTAAGCCACAGGTTTGGAGGCTGAAAGTCCAAGATCAGGTGGCCTGTGGATTATGGCTTTGGCGAGAACCTAGTATTGGACAGCACTGTGACAGAAGCACGCCCAAGAAGGAGCAATTACATCACCATAATTGAAGACAGGGAGATGATAAAAGGCCATAACCCTTACTCCAGAACTAACCAAATATGTCCCGTCCCATGCACTCTACCTTGATCCTCTGCAGCCTTAATGATCTAAGGACCGTCCGCTGTC